AAATCCACCCAACATCACGCAGCTGTGAAGTAGAAAAGTGAGATTAAAACCAACTTCATCCTGTCTTAATGCCTGTATTTGTCTCAGATGCTGCAACCTTTTCATGTCACACTACCTCTTGACACTATAAAACATTCTAGAAATATTAGACATTATTATTTATATTCAATTTCTACAATAAGATTATTGTATTATATTTTAATTAATTAAAAATGAATAAATAACAGACCATGAGATTTTAGCATGCTGATTTTGAAAGTGTATATAAATAGTATGATTATTGATTAGTATTAATTGATTATTGATTAGTATTAATTGATTATTGATTAGTATTAATTGATTTCTGTTGCTGCACAGGCAACTGGGGCTTGTACCCTCAGAAAGGCATACTAACCCCAATCACCCCTTACAACTTGGTTTTACCATCGCTTTCCTCATCAGCAGAGGAGAGCAAAGAAAATATAGGACATGTCAACATTTATAGTCATTTGTCTAGGAGATCTGTGAAAATGTCCTTTTTGAAATAGAAGTCATCTTTTGGATAAGATCAAATTCAGACAAATTGAATTTTTATTTGCTTCGACATGAATTGGAATCAATGATGTGATTTTTCCCCCTCCTGTGCAGGAAGGGGAAAGAAAACCATCTTGATAAATTTCCTTAACTTTCTTGAAGGTGTTCAGTACTTTTCTCTTTGGAAGAAGCCACAGAGTGTTTTGACACAGAGCTGTTAGTCTGAGGTTGAAAAACTTATACTTGGAATCTAATGCTACTAATGGATTTTGAACACTGAATTCCTACACTGAACAACTTGTTCATTCATTTGACAATTGCTCATTAAGTGCCTGCTACAGAAGAGGCCCTATTCTGTGAATAGTTCAGAAAGCAAACAACAATTCCTGCTTTCACAGAGGTTACGACAGAGCAGAGGGAGGCAGACAGTAAAATCTTCACACGTGGCATCCTGGGGACCATAGGGTACGCTACGGAGGAAAAGGAAGCGTTGTCTGCGACTAAGATGTGTGCAAAGGGGTGGGATCGGAAAGGTGTTTTCAGGGGAGTCTTGTGACGTTTAGCAGAGACCTGAAAAAAAGTAAAGAACTGAGTCAAGTAACTGCAGGGACAGATCTCTGCAGGCAGCAGGCAGAGCAAGTCAAAGGCTCTGAGGATGGAGAGTACTTGGTGGATTTGAGCACTAGCCCAGGGGGCCAGTGTGGAGTGGGAAAGGGAGGGTGGTAGCAGACGGGTACAGGAAGGACCCAGGTTATCCCATGGCCACCGTGCGGCCTTGGCAGTCATGTGGAAAGATACTGGAGGCTTTTGAGTGGAAGGTCTGACTTAACTTCAATACCGAAATGACCACCAGTGTTGGGTAGAGAATAGAACATGTGTGTGGGAGGAGGGAGGCAGAAGTAAGAGACCAACTGTGGAAAATCTGTGGTAATGTGAGAGTTGGTAGTGACTTTCCCAGAGTGGAAGCAGTGGAAATGATAAGAATTAAATCTAGGCATAGTTTGAAGGTGGAGGCACTAGGATTTCCTGTGATGTGCAGCAGACTCTGGAGAGGATCACAGAGGACTACAAGATTCTTCTTCTGAGCAAGTGCAACAGTGGAGTTCCCATTTACATCGATGGAGAAAAATATGGAAGGAGGACATTTTGTGGAATTCAGAAATTTCATTTTGAACATACCCTGTATGAGATGCCTATATGACATTTAAGTGGAAATGTTATGTAGGTAGTTGGAAATACAAGTTACAGAGGTTAGAGGAAAAGTCAAGGTTAGAGATTAGAATTTGTGAGCTCTCTGTATATGGGCAGTTTCTGAGGGCCTGATACTGCATTGAGCTCATCTAGGGCTTAAGTATAGATGAAGAAGAAATTTGTAGTTGATCCATGGAACAGTCCAACTTTTAAAGATTTAGGAAATAATGAGGAACTAGCAGGAGATTGAAAAAGGCTCTATAAAATAAGGAGAAATTACACACACACACTCACACACACAAATTACACACACACACACACACACACACACACACTCTCTCTCTCTCTCTCTCTCTCTCTCTCTCTCTCTCACTTTCCTTTTTTTCCAGAAGCTTGAGTTAAGAGGTAGGAGTCAGTCCCTGAAAAAGGATAATGCTGTTTTTCTTGAAGTTCCAAGAACCCGAAGGGGGAAGAGGATTTGACAGGGGAATGGCAGCTTCAATCAGTCATGCTTACACAAACACATGGCTTGGAATTTGAGGTGAATACATAGTACATAGTACAGGATCTTGGGCAAAGAAGGCAGCAGGAGATAGAGGCCAACTTTCATGACGTGTCTTCTTGTTACTGTTAATATAATAGATGCTTTTTGAAAAAAATATAGCAACCATGCAAATGAATGAAGGGAATAAAATGCACAGTTCTACCTCACTGAGATAACTCCTGTTAACATTTTGATGAATTTTTTCTAGTTTTTTTTTATGCACACATATGCATTAACAAATTTAGAATTATATTGTATGTACGTTATTGCAGTCTGCTTTTTTATTTTGCTATAATAGCAGAAATGGTTTGGAAGACTTATTTTTCATTATCCTTTGATGAGACAGAGATAAAATCAAAGAGAAGATCGTGTTAGTTTGAGGAATATCAGGTCCAAAATCTTCCAGTAAAGTAGGGTGATGGCTCGCTGCAGATGAGAGGGACGGAGAACAGCAGCAACTCTGGATTCTAAGTGTCCCGGTGACTGACAGGCGGCTGCGTTACCCACCCGCGGGGGCTGAGGAAACAAGGCTGACTAAAGGTGGATTCCAGGCTTGCTTTTTGTATAGCCGGAGAATTGTGTTTTATTACTAGATGTAGCAGAAGCTGAAAGAAAAAGATCCTCCAAATATTTTGGCTGATATCTACCAGTGTAAACAGGCAATGAACTTAATTTGTGATACAAAGTAGATTGTTTTGACTAATTACTTGGTTTGGCTTTCCTCACAGCTTACAAAGAAGAAAACCAAGCACCATATCTCCTCTATACTTTTCATGTTGTGGGCGTACAGTCCAGACACATGTCATCAAGAATTAATATGGAAACTTTTTCCTCATAAATCTGTGAAAATTGTAAAAATCCATTTTAGTTTATCAATCAAGTGTTATGAACATAACTACAGCAAAATAATCTCTCCTGTTGGCAACTTTCATGGCACAAATTGCCTCTAAAATAAATACTTGATGCATTTAGATTCAGAAGATATTGGTGAGACCAGAGGCAGTGTGAGTCCTTCTTCCCGTAATGAAAATAATATAAATAATGTCCAGTTGCAAACCTCTAACAACAGTAAGTAAAATGTATGTGTGTATTTTTGTTTGTGTATTTTGAGCTCTCTCTTTCTATACATGCGTTCCTGCCTGGTGAGGTCAGTTGGCTGAAGAAGGGACTTCCAAGGTCAAGGGCACACATTCCACTGGCCACACAGAAGCAGTACATGGTGTCATAGCTATCAAATGCACCAGGAATTCCTACAGTCATTTCGTGGACATGTGGCTGGTCACATAAAGACCAGCCAAGAGAGTTCAGCTGGTTTAGTAAGATCCAACACACTGTTAGGAGAAACGCACCGGAAACTTGAACACAGATGCCACCGATGGGCAATGAGCTCAACTTTGTATGTGGATTGCAGTAAACACACAGACGCTCACAACTGTACAAACTCAACTGCACCAGAGAAGAGCAGAAGCCCTACTTATCCCTAATTGCAGTATTTAGCTGAAAACAAACATACTCCAACTGTCTTTTACTTTTATTTCTAGTTAATTCTGCATTTGTTTGGAAATTTTTGATGCATTTGAATATTACATTTTTTATAAATTTACTATTATTTCATATATCTGCCATTCGTTATAACCAATCAATGCCTCAGAATATAGAGTCTTTCAGAACATAAAGCAACGTCTTTACAGCTCAGAGTTTATGAAGTCCATTGGGGAAACAACAGAACAGCACCGAGAAAGTCACTCACTGTGTTTCTGCCATTTCACATTGAGGGTCATATGCAATGACAAAGACTGAAACTTGCACCATAGATCAAGTTGAGGAAACACTGGTTTCTGATCGTCGTACTTTTGCCTTAGAAATCTCAGCTTGTGATTTCCTGACATTTCCTTTCCTGATTGTGCTGGGCCAATCCCATATAAAGTACAAGGCAGTGTGAGCTCCTCTGCAAATCTACTCATTATCCACTGGACTTTGGAACCCATCTCTGAAGGAGAATTGCGTTTTTATGCTGTTCATTTGAAAAACAAACAAAAGGTAAAATGTCAAGCCCATAACCTCTAACGAATCACCATTTCCATCTGCAGCCTCAGCAGTTGTTCAAAAGCAAGAGCAGGAACAGAAAGAAAGCCCCTTTTTTTGGTCAAAAACTCTTGCCCTGCTTAGCAAAACCATTAACCCAAACAGTGTGGGTCAGCCTTTCAACATGCAAAACGGACGAAGGTACCCAATTTTCTTTCATAATAGATTGCATAGGAAATAGTTCTTTGTCAGGGAAATTTGTCGTAATCTTCGAATTTCCCCTTTAAAAAAACCAGACTCCGACCATCAAAACACATTGACCATAGAAATAAAATATTTATCTAACAGGTTTCAAGTCTTAAGGACCGCTTCCCTGTCTTTATTTTTCTTGGACATTTATGCCTCCCACACACCAAAGTCTTTGCTCAACCCCACCAGCTGGCACCACAGATAAGAGGCAGAGGGTTCCTTCGTGACCTCTATGCATTCTGCTCCACGGGAGAGCGGCGTGCAACGCACACTCAGCAGGCTGTGAGCCTGGAGGCATTTCTGCCATCAAACATAGCACTGCCCGGTGGGCTTTGCTCTAAGCAGACCATCTCCCACTCCCCTCTCCCTCCTCTTCCAGCGTCTCACTCCACACCTGACAGCAATTCACGATCCACACGCCACAGAGCAAACAACAAGCACGGAACAGCAACAGCCTCCTTTGTTTTGCAAACCCTACCTCTGGCAGCCGTCACATCTTCCTCAAAAGCCACGCTCAGTTTTTCCTGACAGCGATCCAGCGCAGCCCTCCAAACAGCCACCGGTGACCGTCATCACCTCCTGTGCCCACAGCCTTTGTGGGCACTAATGCCACAACCCTTTCTAACTCAGAGCTTTCATACTCCCTGCTCAAAATGCCTGAGAGTTTGGAAGGACAATGGGAGTGACAGGCACGCTAGACAGCCATGCTTGGAATTAGTTGCCTGGAGCTCCGTGAAAGCTGCTTCCCACTGTTTCAGAGCGTGCAGGAGGTAGGATTTATTAGCCTATGATAGGCATGCTGTTTCTGTTTTTATTAAATACTGTAATAGGCTGCCTGTTAGCAATGCTGTGATAGGTCCAGCATCACTTCCCCCGCTGCTTTCGAATTCTCATGTTAAAAAGGGAGAGAGGGCTCACAGACTTCCTTCCCAGACGGCAGCACCCTGCCCTGGATCAGATTTCCAAATCCTCTTTAGCTACAGAGGGAGAGCCAAAGTGAACTTGGTAATAAACACTCTAGAATTCTGGAAACAATTCTCACTCCCAGGAAGGGATTCCTGCTCTTCCCAGTTACAAAACAGGTGTACTCCGGAGTTAAGTATGAGAATCAATCCAAATAGGAAAAGTTCTCGTTATTATTGAGGTATGACTTACAGAACACATGTACACAAAATCTCAAATGATAGATCAACTGAAGGGATCAATTAGTGCATGAAGCGTTTATTTCATGCTGACTTCAAAGCTTTACGTTTTCGTCTGAAGCACTCACATGCCATGCACTACTGTTAAACAAACGATGGGGGTGGAAAGCATGGGGATGTGTATCTATCTTGCTCATGACGATGGAAGATAGAAGAGGGATTTCTTAACATGGGTCAGAGAAGAGGGCGTATTTGTCAGCTGGAAGTGCTACTCTGAGAAGCTGTAAAGTATCTTTGCAAGTAGGGAAGCAGAAAAAGTTCTCAGTAGCTCCAGTGATACAGAGAACGTTAATCCTCCAGATACCCAATTTATTCATTCTCTTCCCCTTTTCCTTTCTTCCTGCTACCCCAGGAACAACAGCTTTGTAGCAGTTTCCACAGAACCTAGATGGTCTACTCAGGGAAGTGCGTAAAGAGAGCAGCAGATATAACACGAATGGGCATGTGTTGTACTAGCCTATGGAGCTAGAAATGAGTAGCGATCAACAAACAAAAACTGCTAGAAACCACTAAACAAAATCTCAGAGAGAATGATTATAAATCACCACTATTTAATTACTGATAGTTTCGTAACCTAGAAAAATGCTCGCGCTCTCTCTCTCTCTCTCTCTCTCTCTCTCTCTCTCTCTCTCTCTCCCCCTCGTCTTTCTGGGTCCACTCTGTTACCCAGGCTGTTGTCAATGTTTCTTTTTCTGAACTCCTGGTTATCAGTTTGAATATGCCCCGATGGTATGTGAGGTTTTAGTTGTTACTTGACTGGTCACAGCTTCTTCTCAGGAATGAAACGTGATTTAGTGGTAAAATCTCCTTGTATCACAAACCAGAATTTTATTTTATTCTCTTTGAGTATCCATATAGCGGTTTTCTTGGGACAACCAAAGTCAGAAAGTAGTTATTGAAACTCAAATTTCAAAAAAAAAAAAATTATTTGCCCATTTAGTTGGTAGGACAAAGAAAAAAAGACTTTTTCAAATTTTCAGTTTTTCAAGTAGTAAAAAAATAATAATAATTCTTTTATGTTAAGTGTCGAGGATATTTCCTCATGCTCATCCAAGAGGAACTATTTCTCACCAGAGTAATTAAATTCTCACAGTTGTGAGGAGTCCATGGAATACGAAATTATTTTCTTTAGCATCTCAGCTTCACAGTTTGCAGTGGAGTAACTGACACCACTGAAGTGAGGGTACAAAAACTCCAAAAAGAAATTGTTGGAAAACAGTGCTTCAAGATTTTATGAAAATCCTGTCTTTATAGGCAACAAATAATTCAAACGTTTGTAATAGAAGGATTATTTCAGGAACAAAGTATTTATGATATTCTGTTCTTAAAATAATGGAAAAGTAATATTATATATCACAGTTATTTTTTCAAATATAAGGAAGTGTTTAAATTATAACCTAAACACCACTATATGATAGAGAGAGAGAGGGAGAGGAGAGGAGAAGGGAGGGGAAGGGAGGTGAGGGAACCAGAAAAAAATACCCCAGTTGTAAACGTCCCTCCAGTTTTTATCTGTGGTTAATTCAGAAAACAGTGGCTAAAAATACAAGAGATAAATGAATAAGATTTTGATGATGGGATAACGTGAGAAAGTGGGCCTGGGGCAGGGATGGTGAGTGACACTTTCTGGAGGCTCTTCCTGGAGGAGCAAAGGAGGTGCCTGGCTGGGACCAGTCTGAGAATAAAGCAGGTTTCTGGAAGGAGCTATGTTCGGATGGGAATGGGGTAGAGCGTAAGAGGGTTTTCTGAGGTAGTGAAAGAGGAGCAGAAAATCAGGAAGGAAAGGTGAAGGAGGAGAAAAAAGAGAAAAAGTAGAAAGGAGATTTATGAGGAAGAGAGGAAAGAATTTCTGAGCTATCCTGGAGTTGGAAGAGGGCACAGGCCTTGGAATAAGCAGCCTGACTCTGAAACTTGTGCTGGCCTGTTTGTGCGTCACCGGGCTCAAATGGGATGATAGCAACGGCGGTCCTAAGCCTGGGGTGTGAGTGAAGGACTGATCGTGTGTGCGTAAAGCTCTTCATAAGAGTTGACTGAAATCATGTTAGTTATTACAGAGCAGGAAGAAAGGGGAAGCTTGAAGGTGAGGAGACGGGCAGCAGAGGAAAGAAGAGCAGAAAAAGGATGGGCAGAAGAGGAGGCTTGAAAAGAACCTCCCCAGGGGACGTAGAAGGGAGAAACATTTCTTCTGCTGAATCACAAGATACAGTCTCTTTCTTGAGTTGTTTTGTTTTCTGGATCACATTTCCATAGCTGTTGCTTCAGTCTACCTCCATCATGAAGCTTCAGATGGTAAAGTGTCTGTGAAGCTCACACCTTCTTCAACAAGAGAGCAACCTACGCTGAATTTGTTGAAAGCTTGTTCCACCATTTTGAAAAGAGCTGACCTGAGGATTGAATTTAGTAACTCTTCGCATTGCTTTTCTGGATGGTTCCCTGGAGAGTGAAGTTTGGGCCGGCAGAAGGCAGGGACTGAAGGGATATTTCAGAGCTATATTACCAAACACATTCTGCAAGAATATTTGGGCATCTGTAACTTGATAACATTCCAACAGCATCTGCTCCCTGAATGCACATAAGAGAACTTGCCCTGGAGAGAATTTGTGTGTGTTCACAAACATTAGGTTGAGACCTGGAGACTGGGGAAAGGGGTGTAATCACACATGCACAGCCTGCCAGTGAAATGGTTTAATAAATGGAGCAATGAATGCATAATGTCCTTATGAGTCATCACTATTAAAATGAAAATGTGATAGATACATAACCAGAAAATGTAGCTATCGTTACAGACACACGTGCTAATTCTATTTTGGAGTGTGTAACGTATGTTCTGAGTAATGCAGTGAGTGACTGCTGGTACCCATTGTGACTGTTCTAGGAGCAACAGGAAAGTTAGTTCAGACACTGCTTTCTGCCTATGATATTCTGTGAATGTTGAAGCGGACTCACTCAGACATGATCTTCAGTTCCACATTAGGTGCATACAAAAGGCGTTTTCTAGTATGAACCCAAATGCATAACCCTAGGAAGTAATTAAAGACAACAGTGAAGAAAATCCAACATTAAAGCAGCATCTTCTTTCTAAAATAGAAATGAAATGCTTTTATTGGTCCATATCACTTTTCACAGATTTTCATTCAGATTTAAATTTCTCTAGAAAGGATTCATGAAATTGTAATTTCTAAAAGTTTACGTTTCTGGAGTATATTTGCCCACACCACATTTGATCCTCAGAATAAAGTTATTGGGTGGCAAGGTAAATATTAATGGTTACATTTCCATCTAGGGAAACTGAGGATAGGGAGGTTTAATGATTTTTTAAAAATCAAATAGCCCGGGAGTATATCTTTTAATTCAGAATCCAGTGTTCTTTTTATTTCATAAAATTTTTCACCTAGGTTCTGTTCTACATTTTTTTAAGTTAAAACTTCTGCTTCAGAAATACATGCAGCATCAGATTTTTTTTTTTAATTTAAAAACAAAAGACACAACAAAGAGAAGCTACAGACTGGTAGAAATATTTGCAAGACATATTTTATAAAGGACTGTTATCCAAGCTATACAAGGAACACTTAAAACCTAGCAATAAGAAAACAACCTGATTAAAAAATGTGCCAAAGACCTTAACAAACCCTCCACCAAGGAAGATCTGTGGATGGCAAATAGGCGTATAAAAAGATGCTCCACACCGTATGTCATCAGGGAAATGCAAATTAACAATGCACTACCACTCTGCACCTTTTAGAAGGGCCAAAATCTAGAACAGTGACAACACCACATTCTGGAGACGACGTGGAGCCACAGGAACTCCCATTCATTGCTGGTGGAAATGCAAAATGGTGCAGCCACTTTGGTAGACAGTAAGCAAAGCATACTCTTGCCATATAATCCAGCAATCAGGCTCCTTAGTATTTATCCAAAGGAGTTGAAAACTTATGTCTACACGAAAACCTACACGCAAATGTTTATAACAGTTTTATTCATAATTGCCAAAATTTGGAAACAACCAAGATGTCCTTCAGTAGCTGAATAAATAAACTGTGGTACACCTAGATAAGAAAATATTATTTAGCACTGAAGAAAAGAGCTATCAAGCCGTGAAAAGACACAGAGGAATGTCAAATGCATATTGCTAACTGAAAGAAGCCAATCTGGAGTCCACATGCTGATTCCAGCTACCTGACATTCTGGAAAAGTGACAACAATGGAGACAGTGAAAGATCATTGGTTCCCTGGGGATGGGAGGTCAGAGGAGGGATGACTGGACGAAGCATAGAAAATGTTTAGGGCCGTGAAAATAGTCTGTTTAATACTGTCATGATGGATCATGTCGTAATACATTTGTCCAAACCCATAGAATGTGCAGCACCAAGAGTGAGCCTTACTCCAAACAATGGACGTGGGTGGTTATGATGTATCAGCGCAGGTTCATCAGCTTTAATAAATGCACCACGCTGGTGGGGGTGTGGGAATGCGGGAGGCTCTACTTACATGGGGCAAGGAATGCAGTGGGGGCTGCATGGGAAACCTCTGTGTCTTCCCTCAACTCTGCTGTGAACCTAAAACTGCTCTAGAAGTTTTTAAAATAAACTAAAAATAGCATAAAATAAGAGACTGCTGGAATATGTATATATTTCTCCTACCATGTGGCAAATACTGACGGCTTTTTAAAAAACATTTTATTTTACTGCTACTTATGTTTTTAAGGTAGAGTTGCTAAATATTTTTAAAAAGTAATGTATAGAAG